TAAGTAAACAAGTGAACACGAGAAAATTTTTCAAGCATGAATTATTAACGAGCCAAACACGAATAACCATTTATTTAATCATGTTCGGCTCATTTTAGCTCCATATATTTGTTTATATTATTTATATTTTTATATATTTATATCTAAGATTAAATCATAGCACCTGGTTTTGTCTTCTATTACACAAATTGGTGCAAATTCAAATCCAACACTCTACATTTAAGTTTTCTAATTAATTTAAATGAGTCAATTTATAATAAAAAATTAATAATAATATATAAATTGAGCTTAACACAAACACACTAATCATGTGTAATGTCGAAGATGAGCCAATTTTCAACGAGTCGAATGTGAGCCAAGTATGAGCTCGCTCAAGCTCATCTCATTTACAACCTTATATACATCTCCAACCTGTTAGGTGTGAATCGTGATTTGAAGTACTAGCATATGCTCAGGAGTTCAGGAAGCCGGGCGCTTAAGTGGACGAACAAAGTGGGGGCATTGCTCAAGAGTTCAAGAAATCAAGCGCTTAAATGGGCGAACACCCTCCTGTGGGCGCTCAACGGAGAGGCGGGAGCATAAGCAACCCCTTTAGGCGTTTGGGCACCCATGCGCCCAAAATTGGGGTGTTGTTTGTGAAGCCTCTGCTTAAGAGCCCAAGTTGTTGGGTGTGAATCATTTCTTTTATGAGAGAAGAATGATTTTGCACCAAGTCTGGGTTCCTAAGCGCTTGATGCAGTTACTTTTTTTTTTTTGGGTTTTAAGTCCAAAATTGAAGTGGCAAATGATATCTCTTCATTGTACAATGTTCTTGTAAGTTGAGTGTTCTTCGACATAAATCCTGATGAATGTGAGAAGTGTTGGAGAGAAAAACTTCTGTGATTTTGATGGGATTTTCTCAAGTCAGATCGAAAAGAAGAGTGTGGAGGGAGTCTAGTAGGTTTCCATATGTGTAGAGAGGAAATTGGTGTTAGTTCTTCGTAAAAGTTTTTGAATTTTATAGTGAAAGTTTTTTTTTTGGTGGTGTGGGTCCATGGTTTTTCTTCCCATTCTCGAGTTTTTTTTTCGTAAAATTTTTGTGTGCTTTTCTAGTTGCTTAGATTGTGCTTCAATTTAGATTTTATTTTGATTTTCTTGAATCTTGTGTGATCTTGTTATTTCGTGGTGTGGTTTAGTTTTTACTAACATATGGGGTCCTACTTCAGTTCAGTCTATTGGAGGTTCTTGCTATTCTATCACATTTATTGATCATCACACAAGAAGGTATAGTTTTCTTTCTTAAAGCAAAAAATCAGATGTATTTGAAGTCTTTAAGTCCTTAAGAAGTGGAAGGCTATGGAAGAAAATGAGAGGCTTGAAGCTGAAGTGTTTCAGATCAGATAAAGGGGCGAGTGTATTGATCAGAAGTTTAGGAATTTCTGTGCTAAAAAGGGGGTCAGGCATTAGTTCACTACCTTAAATACACCACAACAAAATGGTATGGTTGAGCGCATGAACAGAACAATCACAGAGCGTGCTAGGAACATGAGAATACATGCTTGCTTACCAAAACACTTTTGAGTTGAAACAGTAAACGCTGCAGTTTATCTAATTAACTATAGTCCATTGGTACCTTTGGAGGAAGGCTTACCAGAAGAAGTCTGGAGTGAAAAAAAGGTAAATCTATCTCATTTAAGAGTATTTGGATGTTCTGCATATGTGCATGTTAGTGCAGGGTCCAAGAGCAAGCTTGACTCGAAATTTATCAAGTACACTTTCATTGCATATGGTTCAGATGAATTTGGGTACAAGTTCTGGGATTATCAAAATCAAAAATTCATCAGAAGTAGGGACACCACTTTCAATGAAATGGAGGTGTACAAGGATAGAGTCAGAACTCAGGACAACTCGTTAGCTACTTCTGAAGAATCTAGATATGTTGAGATAGATGACACTGGTGATCAGGAGGATGGAGAAAAAATTAGTGTTCAGCCAGGAAAAGCACTGGAAGTTCTTCGGTCACTTGCTACAGTCAAAAGATACAGCAGAGTGATGTGACCCGTACATAGATATTCTCCTCCATGCGCCCAAAATTGGGGTGTTGTTTGTGAAGCCCCTGCTTAAGAGCCCAAGTTGTTGGGTGTGAATCGTTTCTTTTATGAGAGAAGAACGCTTTTGCACCAAGTCCAGGTGCCTAAGCGCTTGATGCAGTTACTTTTTTTTTTTTTTTGGTTTTAAGTCCAAAATTGAAGTGGCAAATGATATCTCTTCATTGTACGATGTTCTTGCAAGTTGAGTGTTCTTCAACATAAATCCTGATGAAAGTGAGAAGTGTTGGAGAGAAAAGCTTCTGTGATTTTGATGGGATTTTCTCAAGTCAGATCGAAAAGAAGAGTGTGGAGGGAGTCTAGTAGGCTTCCATATGTGTAGAGAGGAAATTGGTGTGAGTTCTTCGTAAAAGTTTTTGAATTTTATAGTGAAAGTTTTTTTTTTGGTGGTGTGGGTCCATGGTTTTTCTTCCCATTCTCGAGTTTTTTTTTCGTAAAATTTTTGTGTGCTTTTCTAGTTGCTTAGATTGTGCTTCAATTTAGATTTTATTTTGATTTTCTTGAATCTTGTGTGATCTTGTTATTTCGTGGTGTGGTTTAGTTTTTACTAACATATGGGGTCCTACTTCAGTTCAGTCTATTGGAGGTTCTTGCTATTCTATCACATTTATTGATCATCACACAAGAAGGTATAGTTTTCTTTCTTAAAGCAAAAAATCAGATGTATTTGAAGTCTTTAAGTCCTTAAGAAGTGGAAGGCTATGGAAGAAAATGAGAGGCTTGAAGCTGAAGTGTTTCAGATCAGATAAAGGGGCGAGTGTATTGATCAGAAGTTAAGGAACTTCTGTGCTAAAAAGGGGGCCAAGCATTAGTTCACTACCTTAAAAACACCACAACAAAATGGTATGGCTAAGCGCATGAACAGAACAATCACGGAGCGTGCTAGGAACATGAGACTACATGCTTGCTTACCAAAACACTTTCGAGTTGAAATAGTAAACACTGCAGTTTATCTAATTAACTATAGTCCATTGGTACCTTTGGAGGAATGCTTACCAGAAGAAGTCTGGAGTGAAAAAAAGGTAAATCTATCTCATTTAAGAGTATTTGGATGGTTTGCATATGTGCATGTTAGTGCAGGGTCCAAGAGCAAGCTTGACTCGAAATTTATCAAGTACACTTTCATTGGATATGGTTCAGATGAATTTGGGTACAAGTTCTAGAATTATCAAAATCAGAAATTCATCAGAAGTAGGGACACCGCTTTCAATGAAATGGAGAGACGACACATTCAATAAAATGAAGGTGACTCAGGACAACTCGTCAGCTACTTCTGAAGAATCTAGATATGTTGAGATAGATGACACTGGTGATCAGGAGGATGGAGAAAAGATTAGTGTTCAGCCAGAAAAAGCACTGAAAGTTCTTCGATCACTTGCTACAGTCAAAAGATACAACAGAGTGATGCGACCCGTACACAGATATTCTCCTTTTTTTACACTATTTGTTACTAACTCAAATTGAAGGAGACCACTCTAGGGATGAAGATTCAAGGGAGTGAGAGCTTGTCATGGATGAAGAAATGTAATCATTGGAATCAAATTAGACTTGAGATTTGACAGTTCTACCAGAAGACAAAAGAGCACTAAACAAAAAGTGGGTCTACAAGTTGAGGAGGAATCAGATGGTAGCAAACGCTGCAAGGCAAGACTTGTTGTGAAGTGTTTTCAGTCGAGGGAAGGAGTGAATTATATAAAGATCTTCTCCTAGTGGTAAAAATGACGATTGTCTGGGTTATGCAAAGTATGGTAGCAAGAAGAAGATCTACATCTGAAGCAGTCAGATATAAAAACAGCATTCTTACATGGAGATCTGGATGAGGAGCTATACATGGTGCAAACCATAAGGTTACAAGATTCCAGAGAAAGAAAGTTTGATCTGCAGATTGAAGAAGGGCATTTATAGCTTGAAGCTGACCCCGAGACAGTAGTACTTGAGGTTTAACAGGCTCATGCACTAAAGTGGGCAAACACTGTGGATGGGGCGCTTTTGCAACCACTTATGGGCGCTCAACAAAGAGGCAGGCGCTTTTGCACCCCCTTTAGGAGTTGTTTGTGCCCCCTTTGGGAGTTGTTTGGGAAGTAGATGCTCGAGTGCCAGCTTGGGCGCTCCAACAACCAAGTTGTCGAGTGTGACTCAATTTTTTTTTCCTGAGAGGCGCTTTTACTCCAAGTCTAAGTTCCTAAGCGCCCGATGCAGTTACTTCATTTCTTTCTGAGTTTCAAGTCCCAAATTGAAGTGGCGAATAATACATATTCAGTGCGTGAAACTTTTACAAATCAAGTGTTCTTTAACAGAAATTCCTGTGAATGTGAGAATTGTCGAAGACGAAAACTTTTGAAATTTCGACGACATTTCTCACATCGGATCTTACGGAAGTGTGTGGAGCAAGACTTATAAATTTTCTTGTCACATCGGATCTTACGGAAGTGTGTGGAGCAAGACATAAATTTTCTTGTGTAGAGATGAAATTAGTGTAAATTCTCCATAAAACTTTAGTTAATTTTTTTTTTGGTAATATGACTCGGTGATTTTTTTTTTCTGTTATCAGTTTTTTTTTACACAAAATTATCGTGTATTTTTTTGATTGTTTTGATAGTGTTTCCATAGTGTGATTTAGTTTCTAATATATCGTAAGCTCAGGTAAAGTTGGAAATTGTTCTCGTTATTCCTATCAAAGCCGTGGACAAACTATTTGACTTTCTCATAATCTGTTGGCCAAAAATAAATCAAAACTAAACAAATTAAAAAAAAAAAGATTAGTCGTCTACAACCGTCAATCTATATTTCATCAAAATTGTCTTAAAAAAAAACTTTTAAACCATAAAAATGACAAATTTCAAAAGCAAAATGACCAGTATAATTTGCAGTGAAACAAAGCAATCCCTAGACAGTAAACACTGCAATATTTCTATCAACAAATTTAGGGGACATATACCAATCAATCTTCAAGCCATAAATGATGAAAAGTAAATACAATCATCACACCAGAAACAGAAATCAACCAATTATAATAATTCAAATTTACACAAACTAATCACCAAGCCTTCTTCTCTCTCACCTATAACAATACCAAGTTGATATTCACATAAATGAAACAATGAACTAACAGATACAAACCATATACAGAATTGGAGCGAGGCTTCCTTCATCGACTTCGGAAGAGATAAAACCACTCCGGTCGACCGGCGGCCGCAAATCCTTCGTCAAGGTGGTTTGATTCTGAACTTAAGAGCAACAACCACCGCTTGAGGTTCCATGGCTTTCTTGTTTCTGTTTCAAGATGTTCTTTTTTACAATTGTAGAGCCTTCCTGCAGCAGACTTGGTACCTCCAAAATCTGAAATTTTAATGGCAAATGGTTGAAACAGGCATCATCAATGGCTGCTAACATTGTGAAATTTGGAAAATAACCACCCAATTACATGCAGAAGAAAGAAAAAAATGGAGGTTTGGGTTGAATGAGTTGAGATTTAATATGAAATGAAACAAAGAAGAGATTATCATCATTATAATCACAGTGAATTGAAGGTGAAACTCTTGATATTGCCTAAACAGCTGTGTCAACGACAAATGTAACAAGCATCAAATTAGAAGACCAAAAATAATCAATTTTGGAAATCATATAACCAGATTTGGATCAAGATCATACAGCAAAATCTAGAATATAAATTATCTATTAACAGGATAAGTTAATAGAAACTTTGAAATGCATACATTTAACATAAAAAACATTACCCTTAATTATTATCATTAACATTATATTCTCTGTCTATTATGAAGTTGTGGCTCATAATGATCTTCTCTGATATGTAAGAAAACTTAAGAGGTGATAAAAAGGTTGGATATCATGTATATCACAATATTTTGCACAAGATCATCCTGCAATAATTACAATAAGAAATTTATAATTTCATAAACCTTTTTGTGTACATTAGTAATATCCAATCACTGAAATCAACATTTACTTTTGCTGGAAAGTCTTCACATTTTAGTGTTCGCAGAGATATTCATAACCCTAAAAATATTTGGCCAGCCTATGGATAGGATATTAATTTATCAATAAACAAGAAATTAGCACTCATAAACGTAAGCAGATTGATTGGCAATTTTCATAGATAAAATGATAATGGGGTGTTTACATATGTACCACCCAAATCGTTCATATCACTTCCCATTATTTTCTTTTAAAAAGTGAAATATACATTTCCATGTATAAATAAGGTGGCGCGCGGCAAGCGACTATATATATATATATATATATATATTGAATTTTAGGTGTTAGATATGTAAATACATAAGATTTGAGTGGTATGTATGTAAATCCTCCAATGATAAAATATCGAAATCCTTTTTTAACCATAAATTTGTCCAAACTGCTGGGCCATGTTTAACGCATACCTTGTGAGCAAGTTCTTTGAAACATTTATCCACATTTGCTCTTGTTTTGGCACTGCATTCAAGAAAAACGCATCCGTATTCTTTGGCAAAGGCGATGCCTTCTTCTTTTGTTACCACCCTTTCACTCTCCTGATAAAATTTGACTAATATGGTTAGGATGATAGAAACATGAGGACTGAAACTCTTAAATTTAACATACGAAGTAACCAATGAACAAAGGGATAAAACCTAAGGAACCTTAGAGGTCGTTCGGAATCACTTCTATTTTTTATTTCTATTTCTTTTTTTTTATGTTTTGATTTGAAACAAAACAGGTTTATCCATTTTCAACAAAACATGTTTGGCTATTATTTATTTAAGTATGGTCATTTCTAAAACCACTCAAAACACCTAAAAATTATTAGGTATTCTAAGAAAATATGTTAATTTGTTTTTACAAACAAAAAAATAAAATTATATCAAAAGCACATTAAACAAATATGTTTTTAAAATAGAAGCAAAAACAAAAACAAAAACAAGAAACAAAAAATAAAATTGATGCAAAACAAGCTTTTAGTTATTCAACGATATCACAAATCTTCATTTCTCTCAAATTAAGGACAAGCATCAAAGACAACGTGCGAGTCCAAGGCAAGTTTCTCTTGTTTGTTATATGAGCACATGTGTCAATCATGAAGTTTTATAAAAGATTAAAAGTAGAATGCTGATTACAAAAGGTTAATTGAATTCGATGTATGCAAGTGATAGCTGTGATAATATAGGAAAAAATAATTCAGAAAAAGCACAATCAAAGATTTTAACTAGAGTCAGAAAAATGCCTGATTTCAAGCTTATTTGAGCTAGAGCCAAGCATATTAATACCACAAATATTTCTTGGTATCACTATATAAAAAACCGACATATAAATAGATGAATCCTATTAGACTGAATGTCTAAGAAAAACAAATCTATGACACTAAAAATGGTCTAATCCGAGTCAAAACAAGTTGAATTAAAAACTTCTAGTATAATTGAAAGCTTCAGAGTGATAATTGAAGAGCTAACCGATATCTAAATTTGGATGCTTAGAGTCAAATCAAACAATTTGATAGAAGAAATACAACAAGTCCTAGATCATTCAATTTTGATGTTATTATGATACAAATATGTTAAAAGAAACATGCAATGTCTAATAGAGTGTTTTCATATTTTGGTTAAATTTATCAAATGTTCATCCCAAAATCCATGTAAATAAGAACATATTCTCAAAATTAGGGGGAGAAAGTGAAGAATTAAGTCTACACTTTTGAAGAAAATTTAAAGCCAACCGCTAGCAATCATCACCAAGCACTAGTAGTAATTATTGCGGCTCAACTACAATCCTTGATTATTATCTTAAGGCTATTATTATTTGCTCAGTAGAACACAATTAACATTAATGCGTCGACCCTTATTATTGCAACAGAATGACAAGTGTTCATAATTTGGTAAACTCATCTTTTACAGTTAAAAAACAATGAAACTTTGTAATTTTAATACATGGTGGATAATTCTAATTGGGCTAACCCATGTGATTATTTCCCTTCCAAGTAATTCATGTAAAAATTCTAATGTGTTCTTCCATTTTATCAATTTTTCTAGCACAATAATTTGACTGTGTAATAGTCTGAACTCCATTAATCGAGATTTTGTCTACTTTGGCCTAATGGTCTCACGGTTTTGCACCTTTGGTGTAACATCGCAGGAGGCCACTCATCCTAGGAGTGCTCCAATACAAGTGCACTTAACTTTAAAGTTTATGATGAAATTTTGATCCTTACACCAAAAGGTGTCTCAATATTTAAGAGTTTAAGTTCATTCTACTTGAGAGGTTTCACAATCTCCCCCAGTTAAGTAACTGACATCATCTTCAGTTTTCATAACCCAAAATCATTCACCAAGCATATATATGATTCTAGAGGTGGCCTCTACAGATTCAAGGGGTGGTTCCCACCATGTAGAACTTTATTCCATCTTGGGTTTAAGTGATGACTCTCATGGCGTAGCACTTCGTTATGTATGACACTTAGTTCCTATATTCAGACTGGTGTATCACTCTGAAACCATTTGCAATAGCTCAAACTCTCACCCATCGAGATATTGTATGTTTTGACCTCATAAATACACAATTTTTCCCCCTTGGTGTAACTCCCAAAGAGATCGCCCATCCCAGGAGTGCTTTCGTACGAGCACGCTTAACTTTGGAGTTACAGATAAAACTAACTGTTACACCAAAAGACAGCTCGATGTTTAAGAGTTAAGCTTCATTCTACTTAAGGGGTTTCACAAAATATTCTTGGGTAATGATTCTAAGCTATGGAACAATTCTAATTGCAGCCTCAAATGGTTGTTTACGTTACCATCTTGGGCACGATTGTAGCAAGACAGTCTTTTTGGAAAACATTGGATCATCAATTATAAAGAATTCAATTCAAAAATGGGGAGCAATTTTGATTGTAAGCAATTTTGATTGTAACATCAAAAGAATAAAATCAGTTATCATTCTAATATGAAGACTCATTTCTATAATTCATTAGTTCTATGAAAAATAAATCAATATTGAGAAGCAACCCTGGTTATAGCCTCTAAAAGATGTTCATGGTTCAAACACAATTGCAATCAAACAAGTCATTCTATTCAACATTCTTATATGCACCCAAAATAACTTTATATATTACTCTCTCTCCTAAGGCTTTCAACAACTGCAAGTAATTCTATTAAAAAATTTCAAATTTTACAAACAATCTTTAGCTACATTTCTACTCATGGGACGAGAATATAAACATGACTACAAAAAGATAATAATATATGGCTAAATATAGATCATTTTTCCCCTTAATTCAAGACACTGGCGACCATCATCTCAGTTTAATCAAGATACAATCAATCTGAAAGGCATTCATTTGATCTCTTACTAATATTATCAAGTAACACTCGGACAAATAACCTCATATAGGTAAAATATTATTGTTGAAGTTCCTATGACCTTTTCAACAAGGGCTAGCATTATCAACTAATACTTCAAGAAACAACCTATAATAGGTCAAACATTCTTGTAGATTTCCTTCGACCTTTTACCACACCAGCTAACATCACTGAGTATTATTGTGGCAAATCAAAATACTTGGAGAATTTCCTATGAACATTTTCCCACATAGGCTAACGTCACCAAGTATTATTTTGTCAAACATTCTTGAACATGTCAAAAATATTTAGTGATTTTTTTTTATCTCACAAAGGCAAATGTTATCAAATAATAATGATAAATAGCCTCAGATAAATCAAAATCCTTACTAAAATTCTTTCAACATCTTTCATATAGGTCAATATCAATGGGCAACACTTAAACAATTAACCCCAGATGAGTTCACGTTATTTTATAAACTTCTTTCAATCTCTTACACATAAAATAACATTGTTGAAATATCCTATGATAAATAATCTTAAATAAGCTAGGAATCCTTGGAGAGTTTCTTTCAATATATTTTCCTATAGTGACATCCTGCACTTAGGGCTGAGAAACTAGCTCGAAAATCATTAATCACTCGAAATTGATTCGAATTTGAGCTCGAATCGAGATCGGATCGAACTGAACGAGTTGAACTACGAGCTAAAACTTTAAATCAGATTATTTTTTATCTGATTTTGAGGAGTTGTCGAATCGGATTGACCCTTCTATCGATCGGATTGAAATTAACGGATGGTAGATATTAGCGCTCGTGACCGCTATCGGTCCAATCGAAATTAACGGATGGTTGATACTCGCATCACATCACAGACCTCAAATACATGAATAAGTTAAGTGGCCCGCCTGGTTATTTGGCTTAGGTTATTCGCTACCCTAATTCCTTTTCAGTCCCAAAGTAGCTCTCACTTCCCACCCCATTTCATTGTCTCAGCGCTGGTCATCTATAGTCTCCCCTCTACCCATTTCAAAATCCCTAACCATAGGTGAGGTATCATCATTTCAGCATTCCTATAGGCTATAAGCGTTCGGTGGTGTCATTTGGCGTTTGCTCATTTTGCCCGATCTCTATCTCTCTGACCTCACCTTCACTTTTTGGTCTATTCAATAATTTCCTTCTCTCAATCTTGCATTTTTTATCTAGAATAGTTGTCTTCTCTTGCCTTTGTTTTATTATGGTAAACATTTAAGAGTTTTATCGATTTGACATTGACGATAAGAATCCCTAATGGCTGCATTTTTAATTTTCGAGTATGAAAAACATCAAGAGTCAAGAGTAACCAATACTTCAAGTGTTATGTAATTTTCATATTTGATATTTATAATTATCAATTGCAACATGTAATTTGTAATTTATGAATTCTTATTATAAGTGTACAAATAATATATGCTTCTCTTGTTGTAAATTTGTGATTTGATGACTCCATCAATGAAAAAAATATGTTCTATTTTTGGTTTTGATATTAATAAATAATTTTTATTCAAATAAAGTTTTCGAGCCAACTCATGTTCTTTGAGCGGGTTCAAGCGGGGTTTTGATCTAGCATGATCTGGTTTTCAAGCCCGATTGAAAATGTGTTACATCAAATCGATTAGGCCACGAACCAAAAACAACATTTAAGTTGGCTCATTTATAATTTGAGTTGCCTCGTAAATCATTCAATTTCAAACCAGAATAGATCAAAGTTTAGTCGAATCGATCAACGAGCTGATTTCGGTCCATTTAATATAAATTTGATCCGATTTCATGCTTCTCCTAGATCGGCTCAAAATTGGCTCATTCGCAACCCTACCTACACTAAAAGCATAAGAAAAATAAACTTTCCAATAAGAATAATGCATAACCCTCCTAAAAGTAAAAAAAACACTAGTTGAAATCACAACAACAACACACCACATTATTATAGCAAAGTTCTTGTCATACTTACATATAGAAGTCAAAAAAATTTGAGCTTCTCGCTAGAATATTTTTAGTGAATTTGCATCTTATATGGAATAAATATTTTATTCATCTTTTATGTTTTTGTTATCATAAAAATTTTATTTTTATAAATAGCACACTCTTTTATAAATGTTCTATAAAGCACGTCCAAGAAGTACATCGATAGAAGGTTGGTATTGAACAAAGTTTTTACGAGAAAGATCTCATGAGAGCATGTGATAGATAAAATTTCAACTTATACTCTTGAAATGCATGTCGATGAGAAAACATCAAAGAAAACTAATAGTGAACAATATCCTCACTAGAAAATCTCCATAATAGCAAGTGATTGACAAGTTCTTCTCTCTAAAAATTCCTAAAAAACTATTGCCTCAGAAGATACAAATACATAAAAAAATCTCAGAAGACTAAAAGCCTCAAAATATACATGTGCATTAAAACCCTCAAAAGACCAAAAGCCTAAGAAGCTACATGTATATTTAAAAATCTCAAAAAAATTGAAAACTGAGAAGGCATAGCTGCACTAAAAAATAGCAAAAGTCTAAAAGCCTTGGAACATCCACAAATCACATAAATCATAAACTCAAAAGTTAAAGTACACTAAAATTTTAAGAATCTACATGCATATTTAAAAATCTCAAAAAACTTGAAAACTGAGAATGCTTATGTGCACTTAAAAATCACAAAAGTCTAAAGACTTCAGAATATCCAAAAATCTCATAAATAAAAAACTCAAAAGTTATAAGTACACTAAAAGAAGTTCATAAGATTAAGAGTATGTTTGAGACAGCTTTCTGTCAACTTTACTTTTTAGAGCACCACTATAATTCTGTTTGGAGAGCTGTTTAATTGTTGTTTTTAAAAAAATTATGTGATAGAAAGTTATTTTTTTCATCCTGAGTTATTAAAGTGTGGTGACTGTCAGAAAGTTGCGGTCTAACTTTTTGCAAATAAAATAAATTTGTAATAGTCACCGTAGTTTTTTAAAAAAACTGTTTCTTCTACAGCAGTTTCGTCGTTGTTTATTTAAACAACTGCAGCTGCCCCAAATAGACCCAAAAAAACTCAAAAAATACAAGTATATCCAAAAACCTAAGAAAGCATAAGTCTCCAAAGAAACAAGTAAAAATAAATAAATACAAAGGAAATAAGCCTAAAATAAGTACATAAATCCAAAAATGTCATATGGAATAAACCTTAAAAGCATAAGTACATTTAAAAAATTTTAAAAAACAAAAAATTTATAAAAATATACATTCATAAATTTACAACACCAAGGTATTGTAAGTATAAATATCAAACTTTGGGCATTATATACATAAAAATTGTGTCAGATGTAAGCAAATGTCCCTAAATATTTTTTCATTTCAAGAATAATGCTAATCCTAATTATATGTTTTTTATTTATTTAGAAATCTTAGAAAGCTAAAGTCTCCCATTCATCCAAATAAATCAAAAGAAAGAAGTTTCAGAAAGAATCAAAGTCACTATGTTCCCACAAGGAAGGCAATATCATTTTATTGTCTACTCAATTTTAATTATAGCAAATTAAATTTCCAACGATTCATACATCTCAAAGACATAAGGGATTTAATCTTTTATAGGGTTCAATAAGAATAACACATGTTTCCATCACATCCATTCTTAAATGATTTCAATGGCATCAAAGATAACATCATTGCTTAACACTATCAAAACATCCACCTCTATATCTCATATCAAATGATTCTAATGGCATTAAAGAACGTCATTGCTTGACACTATCAAAAAATCCATTGCCATCGTCTCGCATTTCAAAAAATTCCAATGGCATCAAAATTAATGTCGCTGGTTGACACTATCAACATTAACATTCAATAATAATATTTTCCAACAAATGGTCTCTTCAATGAGCAAAATCTTAGAGTTCTTGGAGCTCCACGTAACTGTGTTATAAAACTGGGTATGCATAAACTTTATGACATTTTTTTCATTCATATGTTGAGCATTATAGTAATGAAGACCATATATCATACCTTATCAACTTTATTTGCAACAACCATTTTGATGCAATCTTGATTGGTGGAATAGAGTTCTATTTCTTTTACCCATACTTCAGATAAGTTTGTGAAAGTTTCTCTCTGAGTCACGTCATAAACTACAATGAAATGAACAATGTTAGCCCTTTTCATGTATCCAAAGGAGCAAAAAATGAAAATGTAACAAAAAAAAATGCAGGTATGGATAGAAGTAAGAACGAGAACATTTGAAATAACGTGAACAAAAGTTTTTTTTTCTCATTTACATATTCTAACCAACAACCTACAACAGATTCGTTCTTCCATCATTTATTGTAATTTATAGTGATACGAACAATGACATGAGAATCATGTTTTCAAGAGAAAAACAATTGTTCTGATAAAGCAGTTCATGTTGCCTAAATAGAGACACTATATATTCCATGTTCATAAAATATCGGATATTCCAACTTACTGATTAGAACAAAATGTTCATAATATCACACAAATATTGAAATGAACCAAGGAACCAAAAATCCATTGCCTTTATCTAAAAGTTCATGACAATAATATGATGATAAACAAATGACTAAATACTTGCAAGTCTACTGTTTTAAATTGCTTGAAAACCTGCCTTTGAGCTCAGAACGCTCCCGTAAAGGCTTATTAAATCCTAAAAATATTACACTTAATTGCTTCACATGCATAATACATTATTCAGATCCATAACTGAGTAAAATACTTGTTTCAACCACTCTCAAGAAATGCATTTTGTTGCCGTGGTTCTCTTTTGTGCTTAAACATATGCTGATTTTTGTTGACGGTTTTAATGCAGTTGAATTTTAAGATTATTTTGCGATTTGTATATATAAATAATTAAAATATATGAAATCTTACTGGAAAAAACTAATGTTTTCAAAACTTTGCTCTCTCTCTCTCTCTCATGCGGTTGTAATTTATTTTATTAGTTATCTTTTAATTTGTACATGGTAATCTTTGAAGTCTACTTGAATTGCACTCGAAGTTTAACATCCTAATCCTTTGTATACTACATCCAATAAAACAAATACGTAAATTATAAAGGCTTCAAGCTTTATAAAAATTTGTATACTACATCCAATAAAACAAATACGTAAATTTTTCCTTGGCTAAGGAAACAAGCTCCTTGCTAAAGGCTTCAAGCTTTATAAAAAAAAAAATAAAATAAAATAAAAATAAGACTTGACTAATAATCAGCTTTATGAAGTCAAGCATGAGATGATTTGTCTTACTATTAGTTTGATTGCTCAAATGATTTGTAAATGGTTTCATTGACAAAAGCGAACCGTAGGGCTCTCTTTTTGATTTGTGTGGCTATCAACTTATTTGTAGGCAATTTTTCTCCTTTGAAATAGTCAATGAAAAGTTGCCTCCAATCATCTCGTTCCTCCGTCATGATTGTCTCATTCTAATTTTCAGAAACTATCTGGGAGGGAGTGTGAGAAGCTAAGAAGACTGTTTTCTTGAACTTAATGACCCCTTTGCCTGCGGGAGTTGTAAGGCCGACTGTTCCAAGACTCGTCGAGTATGCACTTCGATCAATACTGACTCAAAATTCATGTTGGTCATCTTTTTAACCAGTTTAGTTAAACATTTGCTTTACAGTTTCGAGCTCGAGACACCCAGGTTAATGTGACGTTTGGGATTTATTTTATAAGTTGAGTAGCTTTTTATGATAAAAAGCTAATTCAAGCTTATTTATCTTATAAATACCCAACATTTGATTTATGACAAGCTGTGAATAGCAAAAAATGTGAAGATTATTCACTTTCAATGTGATAGCCATCTCGAGGTCAACTATCAAAGCTTCATACTCAGCTTCATTATTAGTACAAGGCTCAATTAATCCATATGAATATCTCATTATGTCCTTGTGATATAAAAAAAAATTAGACCAATGCCAGCTCGTGTTTTTGGAAGATCTGGAGGTTGGTCAGGTTTGATGGAAGAGGTTCCATCAAAATATAATTTCCAAATTTGTAACATCTCCTTCTCTCAAATGATCAGAACTTGTTCGCCGGACAAATCATTGTTGAGCGGAAATCAGCAAGAGCATGATGAGCAACAAGAAAATCTGCCAAAACTTGTCATTTCACTGCTTTTTGAGGCACATATGTGATATCGAATTGCAAGAGAAGGACTGCCCATCGAGCCAAGCGACCTATCAACGCGGGTCTTGTCATCAAGAACTTCAACAGATCGATGCTTGAGATGAGAGTGATTTGCGAGACAACATACAATGACGAAGCTTTTGAGTAGCAAAAATCAACACCAAACAATGTTTCTCAAATGGAGAATATCTTATGCCAGCTCCTATAAGCCTAATAGAGACCATTCTTTTTGTCTTCTTCATTGTGTTGAGCCAGCAAAACTCCAAGGGACTCTTCTAATGTTGTTGTGTAAGAAATAAAAGCTTCCCTGGAATTGATGTTGAGAGAATGGGTGGGCTTAAGAAGTATTTCTTAATACTAACAAAAGTCTCTTAACATTCAGCATCCCATTTAAATGAAGCGTTTTTGTTTTTCTTCATCAACTTTGAAAATAGTTGACATAGGTCTGATAATTTGGGTATAAGACGTCGAATGAATGTGAGTTATCCATGAAATTAGTGTTAAGAGAATAGGTGGGCTTAAGAGGCATATCTTAATACTATCAAAAGTCTATTGACGTTCAACATCCCATTTAAATGGAGTGTTTTCTTCATCAACATTGAAAATGGCTGACATCAGCCTAATAAGTTGGATATAAAACATCGAATGAACGTGAGTTATCCTTGTAGAGAACAAAGTTGACAAAAGATTTTTCGAAGGAGGTATCCAAACAATCATTTTGATTTTATTGGGATTAATCTCAATTCCTCTATGGCGTACAATATACACACGAAATTTTCCCGATGATACTCCAAAAGCACATTTAAGAGGATTCATTTTGAGATCAAATTTTTCGATTCTTTCAAAGACAATCTTCAAATCTTTACTTTACTGAATAGATCATCATCATAACACTCCAACTTCTGATGAATCAGATCATCAAATATGAGTTATTTCTCTTTAGTATGTTGCTCCCGCATTCATTAAACTAAATGATATGACCATGTAGCAATATATTTCAATCGGTGTCCTGAATGATGTATGATTTTCATCTTCAGGTGTTATTGATTTGATTATATCAAGATGATCCACCATAAAAGAGAACATATCATAATTTAAAGTGTTGTTCACGAGCAATTTTGTCACATGGAGCGGAAAATCATCCTTTAGACATGCCTTTTTGAGATCTCGAAAATCAATGAAACATGAACTTGATCATTATTTTTTCTCATAGGTATGATATTTGCTATCCAATTAGCATACTTTTCTTCTCATATGAAGCCTGCTTCAATGAGCTTCTTGGTTTTAGCAATCACATGTACTTCAATTTCAAGTCTCATCCTCTGTGGAGCTTGTTTAACAGGTTTTGTAATCTAGATTAATGACTAGTTTGTAAATTGCTACATCATGAGATAAGCCGGGCATTTCAACATATGACCAGGCGAAGTAGTCCCTGAATTCAAAGCATAATGTTTTTATCTTTCTAATTTTATCTTCGAGCAAAAGTGCACTGACGAAGGTTGGGTGAGGAGCATCCACAATTCCTAGATTAATTTCCTTCAATTCATCTATGATAGTTGTTTGTCCACCATCTTTCATTTCTTCTGGAGCAGGCTTGACATATATATCTTGATCATTTGTAGGTTTGACTCCATATGAATTTTCTTCATCTTAATCTTTGACTTTCCAGAATTTTTTAGCTTAATAAATCTAAGACCTTCAGTTGTGCATTTATTATCATTACCTGATGCTCGCGGGTTTCTTGGATTGCAAATCTTCTTGAAATTAGCTCTTTGTTTAGTGGCCTCAACTTGAACACCTACCTTTCGTATCATTTTTCGAATTCTGTGAGGATAGTACGTAAGAATTCTGCTAGGGACCATTTCTTCAAGCTACGCGCACTGTAGGGGCCAATCGAGCTCTTGATATTGATGCTTCTCCTATTTATAAAAGAAAATCCCTAGTGCATTACTTCCAGACAACGGGATACAAAAAATGTCTTTAATTCCTCAGTAACATGCACTTCAAGAGGAGTGACTTCCTTAAAATAATGAGGGATTGATATCAGTGTAAGTGATTCATCTGATATTGACAATTTGGTCATTCTCATTGAAGAAACACATTGAGCTTTACTTTCATAAGTTGACTCATTCTCATAGTCTTCATTGAGGCAATCAAAATGATTTTTTAATTTTGTTGAAGACTCGCATAATTCATGAGACTGAATGGGAGTATTCTCTTCCTCTACTGTATCACTAGCTAAGTGGGGAATGACCATGTTCAACTTAGGGTAAAGTTACTTCATTTTGGAGGATGTTGATGTTGTTTTATGTTTTACGCTGTGTTTTTCTTTTTATTCTCCTTTAAGTTGCTTTGCAGCCTTGGAGGTTGACTCGGTACTTTTAGGAGACTATGAAGACTTTGACTCATTTGACATAAAACACTTTGCAACATCATATATTGTAGCTTTATGAACGGAAAATGATCGAATGTTATCCGCTACCATGATTTCTTCTCCATCCCTTAGATATTTCATACACTGATGTAGAATAGACACGGCGATCTCATAATCATGAATCCACAACCGACCAAGGAGAGCTTTAAATGAAGTATCACAATCAATGATATGAAACTAGCCTCCGTCATAGTTATCCCAATTTGAGTGGCAGAACTAAGGCAGACAAGACCTTCTGGCATTTTTCATTGAAACCATGAACCATCAATTTTTCATATCCCAAATGACTGGCGTCAAAATACAAGCACTTTAGTACTTTTAAACTCATCAAATTTATAGAGGAGTCGGGATCAATTAAGATACTACCTAATTTCATACGATCACACTCTGCTACAATAACGAGGGGAAATTGTGCTTAGATGTCCCAAGCAAAAGGTATTCCTCAGAAAATATGATCATTGGAATGTCTTGACCTCGCAAGGCCTCTGTCATACACCTTTGAGCAAAATATGATTCATATTTTTCTGGCTCTTTGAGGGCTTGATTGAATTAATGT